TCTGGGCCCGGCTCAGCTGGACTTGTAGGCTCCGCCCGCGGCAAATCCTCCCCGGGCCGTATCCGGGAGGGGGTCTAGGCCGGTGGGAGCGGCTTGACGGGAGGCTACCCGGCCTGGGGCCGCCGATGAAGAGCGATGACTGCGGCGGCGGCTGTCGCACGTCTCTCTGTGACTCTTCCACACCAGCAATATGGCGTCAATAACAACGCCGCTGATTCAAAAACCAGTTCTCACCAATGCGCTTGCGCGGCATGGAGGTGGTGGCCGACGTAAAGGATCAGGGGAGTTGTGGTTTCCTTTAGGACATTTTCCCCACCCTCCTCGTAAAGACGCTAAAGGGAAGCGGGAACCACAATTCCCACGGTACATTGCGTGAAAGAGTCGACTTCCGGGGTGGAATTTAAATCCCCACAGAAGACCCTGGATTTTAGGAGTGAAGGTGGTCATTTAAACGTTGGGAGTGAAGTAGGACAGAAAGAGCTTAGTCTGCGGAAATTTTAAATGGCCGATGACGTGCAGTAACGTTCTTTATAATGCTTGGCGAAGATGTAAAAGAGTGTTTCTCTCTAGCTGATTCCGAAGCACAGTACACATTTTGGAAGAAGAAAAATGAACTGAACGAAAGGCGTCCTGCAATGAATATTTCTGTTTTATAATACAGGCTTGGGATTATTGGTGATTTAATGTTCTAGACTCTTCTTCAGCTAAGATACTCACCAAGCAATATTATTTCTGAAGAGTTTTACAATTATGATTACACTTTATTAAAGTAAGAGCACAAAAGACACAATAAACTGATCAAGTCTTGATTTAATTCTACTTAGAGTATACCCATTAAAATCAATTGGAGTCAGTTAATAACTAAAGAAAAAATCCTGGATTTTAATTGATATTTTTTTAGTCCTGGAACTGGAGTTGGCCTAGGGCCTGTAGATCAGCATTCACAATGCAGTGATCTCCCAACTCTGCTGGACTTACCACTCATCATGATTGAAATTTTGAAAAAAGTTAAAATATGTAAGTAAGTGTTACAGTATTCCATAGAGAAACAATGTTTGCTTCTTGAATGCATTGTTCTTATGAATTTATTATGTGCCAAAATTACTTGTTTTCTACTGCAGCAAAATCCTGCCATTGTTAAGTATTCATTCAATTCATGTCCATGCCCACTCCCTAAACAATCCTGGGCAGCTTACAGAGCATTAAAAAGATAGATAGATAGATAGATAGATAGATAGATAGATAGATAGATAGATAGATAGATAGATAGATCACTCACTGCTGTGTCTTTAATGATCTATCTATCATTAAAAACACACACAGCACTGAGGACAGTAATTCACATATGTCACACTAAGATGGCTCACATAGTTCCTGGCCAAACAGGTTTATTATTTGCCTCGGCTTCTTTAGGACTGAGACGTCTAATCAATTTTCAATGCCATAACTCAGTAGTTAAAAAAAAATCATGTAGTAAAATACTTGCATGATTTCCCTATTAAAGGAGTGCATTCTGCGATGCTCTAAATTATATAACCTTTTGCATGGTAGTCCCACTATAAGGACATGACTTGCTCTCCAGTTAGGCTTATGTAATCAAGTCCTGGGTGTTTCCATTATGGCAATAGAAGTAGTAGTAGTAGCAGTGGCTGAGTTTGCACTAAATTATGTTTACTGAACATTTGGAGTTGCCTAGATTCACACAACAGAAGCTATACATTTAGCACACTGGCTGGGTTCTTACAAGATATTAAGCTATAAAGTTAGCCACATCTGAACCTGGAATACTGTTTTACGTACGCAATTTTACCTGGGCTTTTTGCCTGTATCTTTTTAATGTAAATGGTACAGATCCTCTTGTATCAAGTTTGACTTCTGGTGGCTACAGTCATGTATTTGTCTTGGCAACAATGTGGAATTCGTTTGCCACTCTCCTTTCCCACCATGATTACTTGATTTCCCACACTATCCTACAGCCTTGGAAATCTCTTAAGGTCTCCCATACAAGTAATAACTAGACCTGACTCCACTTCCCTCCTGAGGCCAGATTAGGTTAGCCAGATGCTGCCACCTGCTTATTCTGATTTCTCTGGGCTTGTAGATTGCCATGTTTGAAGAATCACTGATATTTCTCTTGCATTTATGAGATGAGCACTTGGTTTTTAAGACAGCTAGGAAACAAATGAAAACTGCAGTATAAGGGTTAAAATAGCTGTTATCAGGGTTTTTTTTTAAAGATTTCTTCCACATCAAGTGCTGAGATGTAGCTTCACCTGTTTTGCCCTCTGAATCCCTCTCAGTGGATGCTAAGCCCAGCCCTTGGCTTTCAAAATGTTGCCTACCTGTGTTTTTAGGTGAAAAGCTAGTTTGGATTGGGCAGGTAGATGATATTTTTAGAAACTGCTGGTTCCGTGTGATTAGCACTGGATTATGCCAAGCTTTTTGTTTTGTGAAAACAGTCTAAGGATATAGTCTGTTCTCTACCCTATAAAATTTAAACTTGTTTGACAGCAGTGACATTTCATAACCAAATTCTGGATACATTTATTATTACTTAAAAGGACTGGAGAGCTCAACATGCTCACAAATTTGTAGATGTTAAGAATATGGAAATTGTATCCTTTGAATCTGTTCATATATCATAATTTTAGCTATACAGTATATGGAGCATCAAAATGTCTGGTATTGAGACATTTTGATAGGAGCAGAACAATATGGATATTGTGGCCAAGAAGCATGACCATGAAACATAATTCAGCTAAAGGGCAATTTCCATCTTCTATTTGTTTAATATCCTAAGATCATCTAAGAATGGGTGAAGTTCAGAATCAGAGTTCAGAGTCACTTTGTGTGAGATGGACCGCTATATAAATGTGACATATAAATAAATAATAAATAGTAACAAGGGTATTACTAATAGTACCAATAATGGTTATTTATTTATTTATAAATCATATTTATATATAAAATGCAAATGACAGTGTTTCCGCTGGAATATATCAATATTCTCTTCTGAAGTGTGAAAATCTTGTAACAGTGCTTCAAAGTATAAAGAAGTGTTTGAGAAAACTGAAAATTATAAAAATAATTTAAAAATAATTGTACACACTTTTCATAAATGGAGCATTTGAAAAGTATAAAATGATTACTCTGTAATCTTAGGCACATAAGCCTCTGTTAAAGCACTGAGACTTCTATATAAATATGCATAGGTTTGCATGGCAAGATTTTTGAAATAAAAGCTGTTAGCATCAGATATGACAGGGAGTTGTGCAATTAATCAGTTCGTTTATGCTTTCCAGATTAGGACAGACTTACTTATAATGGTATACCTCATGGCAGCTCAGGATTTTAAAGTGTAACAGGGACACAGTTGTACACAATTATTTGTCTTTCTTCTTTGGAAGAGACAAAAATGATTTCAGGCCAATAACATGTTTCATAAATCAGTTTTCCCATTGATATTAATTATACTAGATTTTATAAAATACCTATGCTTCCCTCCCCCCCCCCTTTAATGCTGTTTTAAGTATAGTTTTGAAATTGCTTGTGTGCCTTTTTTCCAATTACATCATCATAAGGACCTGGTTGGAGATACGTTCAGAAAAACTGCCTCCTAATCCCAAGGAAAGTTAAGAAACTGGATCAACTGTTGGCTGTTTACTCACCTGCTAAAAATAGTTAATTGTCAATATTTTCAAGGTGTTTTCATTACTATATTCTTCTTCTTTAATTCATACACCCTGACTCAATCAGCCTTCTCTAATGTGCTGGGAGAATAACTCTCATAATTCCCAGCCACTCCTGACATTGATCATACTGACTGGGAATTATGGGGGTTAGTCCCAACATATTTTGTGACACCGGGTTTGAGAAATCTGGGCAAAATCCTATGACTTAAATTCAGAGTCTGCTTCATATCCCATGTTGTCATTTCCTCTTTCTGTTTCTCCTGCACAATTTCATTTATTCATTTGCATGTTCCTTCACTGACATGCTTGCGTCATGGTTGTGCACATTTCCTATTTCTATTTATGGCCCTTTTGCTCAACCTGATTTTGTTCCTAACTTAACCTGTTTGATCCCCTTGCAATGGATCTGCATTGCAGGTTGACTGCATTCTAACCATTGCTGAGTCCTTAGTATTTGAGATACATATGGTCCCTTCCCACTCGAGACTTCAGATAATGCCATAAATATAGTATGAAGTACAGCTGTGATAAGAGCAAACCAGGTCATTTGGATTTTTAAGTGAGCTTGATACTGATTAAGTTACCCAAGGAAATCTGACCATGAAGTATCTATTAAGAGTCAGCAAATGTTCGATAAGCCAGCAAAGAAGAAGATAAAAATGTTTTAGTTTTAGAATAAAATTTGGAGCTGTAGTGTTGAATAAGCAGTACATCTTTTCAGAAAGTATAATATTTCTAATGAGGACTGTCTGGTATTTTTCAAACAGTCATTATAGCAAATGGAAATTTAAACCACAGATTGATAGGCAAAGCACCTAGTCTATTTCCTGTATATACAAATAGCAGTCTCAG